CAGGTAATGACGAAAACAGATCACCACCCTTGGTAATTCCAGAGTGCTACACTGCCAAAAGGGACACGGAGTTCCTGAGGAGCTGAGTGGCAGCCTGAAGTCCTCAGGAGATGGAAAACCTTTGGTGCTGCTGTTGTGCTCCTGCCGTGATCATCCAAGAAATTACTCAGTATAAGAACACACCTCCAAAGAGCACCAGAAAGGACTGGAGTCACAGCGCACCTGGGATTTGAGACAAGGTGGTCCAACAGCCGAGTTTCCTCACACTCGGATCCCTTTTTGCCCATTCTGCTAATATATATGAGAGACAAATGATGGAAGCCACCAGAGAGAGCTGCCACGCTTTGCATGCCATTGCTCATGCTGGCCGAGCACTGCGAAAGTGCGAGAATGAGACCCAGGATGCTCTCCATAAACTCCCTTGCATGGCTATTTGTGACGCGGTGGTGGAGAGGGTTTCATCTTTAATAAAAACTCCAGAGAAAGTCAACCCATCTGACGCTATTTTGCCCATCAGCAGCGCAAGTAATTTATAAGTCACTACTTCGGTTTATATATTTGGGGCATCTGTTTAGTTTTTATTACTTCTGGCCTTGGCTCCCACACTCCTTCACAGATCAAATAACTGCTTTCCCTATTCACTAATTCCAACAGCTGGTTATTACTCACCAGACTCCTGCTATACTCGCCTGGGGAGGAATCATAAATAAATGTGTACAAGCAAGCAGATGCTGTCATTTTAAAAATTGATCCACCTAGTAAAAATGTCCTACTTAGGACTCAAGTGGTGAATCACTGAGCATGTGTCTTGATCTCATTTTAATAAAATCCAAAAACAATCGCGGGACTTTGTTCATTAATTCAAATTAGTAAATGAAGAAAGAGAGTGTTATAAAAGAGAATATTACTACAAATAAATAATTAAATTCTGAACAGGCCAAACACCTGCTCATTCCAATGAAGACAATGGCAAGATAAGATACAAAGAATTTCTTTTATATATATATTTGGTGTAACTAATCACTTTTCCACCAGTGGCAGACAAGGTATCATCAAGTAACCGTGGGTCCTGGAAATCTATGACTGTAAACAGAAGAGAGAAATACATATGGTTTATCAGACTTTATTATCTCTCTTAATTGCGTGTCTGTTTATTTTGGTTTTTTTAAATAGGTAATTTCTTTCTGAATGTCAGTGCTAAGAGAAAGTGAGCTGCCTGGAGCATATTTAAAAAACACACAGAATATAAAAGAGAACAAAGAGTGCTTTGCAGAGTATACTGCAGGAAGCAGCAGGGAAAAAGTCTTGGTACCAACTTCTCTTCCATGTTTTAAAAGGGACATGTTTCTGCAAGGTTAGGCAGTTTGGCTGCCAAAATCTTTAAAAAATTTACTTCTGATGAAAGCAGCACAAGTTTCAGTGGTGGTGCTATAATCCACAGGGAAATGGGACTCTTTTTCACATCAATTTCTGCAGGTTACACAGATGACAATAATTGTTCGTTGGATAAATTATCTCTTGTTGACTTAGAATGGAAATGTCCAGCACTGAAGTCACCCACTTCCTTGGTCAGACAGCTCACAACAAAAAATATCTGCATTAGCTTACAGACATTTCAAAACTAGTACGCATGTACTGCAAGGTTAATTACTCTGATAGCAAAACTTCCCAATTCAGCTTTTGCAAATCTGTTTTTTTCCAATAAAGACAATTTCAACCAAATTGCTTAGATGCAGTATATTATGGATTTTAGTGGGTTTTCCTCCTAGACTAAAGGCCAAACACACTACAAGACTTAATACACACCTGAAAACCTACCTTCATTAGCTTAGCAGAGACACAGCTCAGCCCCTTCAAGACTATTGATGCTATATCAGCATTCAAACCATTGTACCAAAAGATGACTGACTAGAAATAATTGTCTTCCAGTGTATGCTCAAAGAGAAACACTGAACCTCCCTGAATACCCCAAAACTAAAATCTACTCCCAATTGGTTCTTCACCTACAGTATAACCGATAAAGCTTATCACAGCCTTAATGCCCCACCAATGCGCTAGAGATTACGTGTTCAGAACTTGGTGTTATTTAAAATACCAGAAAGAAATCCAAATCTTCAAAATGTAATTTGTGAAAATATTCCTAATATTTAAACTAGGAAAGCTATGATCTAGCGAGAATTGTATTAATCAACTTAAAGAGGAATAAAGTTAATATAAATGGCAATAATAATCGGACAGTCCATAAGCACAAGACTAGCAACACTTGCTAGCATCATAAATTACAACTACTGAACACAGGGTCTAACAAGAAGCTTTCCTTGCCAGTTAAATACTTTCTCCTATAGCAGCATATATTAACATTTAGCAATCAAGGAGGAGAAAATTCTAGATGAAGGTGCTAAAATCACACAGTCACAGGACGAATTTAAGGTGCCAAGAGAAAGGCAGTTAGAAGACAGAGAATAGATGGGCCAGCGTGATAAGCCAATGAAGCAAGTCTAAAGTGTGACAGAAGAAGAGGAAGTCATTCAAACAAGACAGCTGGGGAATGGGGCAGAGGAGAGTCACAAGCAGCAGCAGCAGTGACAGGAGGACTCAAATCAACTCTTTTTTTCCGAAAGCACTAGTGACTGAGCATAGGACAAAGAAGAATGAGTGTTCTCTTAGTATGAAAGGTGATGATTTTAACTTTTTCTGTAAACATAAGATTTTGCATGTAGTCTGAAGATTTCAACCCCAGACAACCAACACTTTTAAAATTTTTCATGAGTTACAAATTCCTCATTTCTTGTTATGTTGCTTTAGGTTTTGGTTCGTGATGTTAAGACATTCCTCAGAGTTGCTGAATTTTAAGTAAAATAATATTTTCTTTGCAATCAAGTATTAAGTACTGAGAACATGCTTGGGGCACATTATCAAAGCAAGCTGCGGCTGAAAGATGCCATGCAAAGCATATTAGAAGATTGAGGTGCATATTCCACACAGGAAGCACGTCTTAAACACAGACTAAAAACACACAGCATAAACCACCAAAAGGACATTGCCTCACAGCAGTGTTCATCCCTGATGCTTCTAGGCTCCTCTCCCAGATCAGCATGCAAGGTCCCAGGTAGGCTTTCTTTCTAATACAACATTGATTAGAGTATCTCCCAGTCTTCCAGGAGTCATCTACTTGTTAATAGCTGTCCCACTTTTGGAACAGAGATATTTCTGGAGTGAAATCTAAGCTATCTTCCTCATACCATCACTGTATGGTTAACATGTAAAGCTACAGTAGAAAGAAAACTAGGTTGGATGTATACGTTTCCCTTCAATGCAAACAGCTGCATCAATCATACAGTTACTAAATTCCAGTAGACTTGCAGGTCAAGGGCCCAAATGACCATATGTAGTCGGAGTTTTGGTGATATTACACTGCCCATGGAGACCTGGGCTACAGTTTCACAGAGCCTTTAGCCCAGCAAAAAACCAGCAATGCCACCAAAAGGAATCGCTCCACTTTCTTCACCCACTTAAGCCCCCTACCGCCCCCTTCGTTACATCTGCAAAAGAATACACAGTTACGTGATGAGCCAGGTGATGAGACTGATCTGGGCTAAAACTAACCTAAGAAAATGAGTATTTTTTAATCTAGAAGGGGTTTCCATTCCAGTTTGTTATGCACCTGCATGAAGACTTGTAGCAGCCTAAGGGGCGCAAATGCAAGAAAGCACGGCCTGGCAGGAGCAGGACGGCTCCCTCCATCAGCGGCACCCTGGCGCACCGGCCTACAGCAGCCAAGAAACTCTCAGTTATTAAAACGTGCTCTGAAAAATACCACGAAGAGCAGCGCAAAGGAAAGCCTGCACCTGTACCATCTCCGCTGCCGGCAGCAACCGGGAAGGAGCAA